TGTGATGAATCTGAATCCTTGGGAAATATGTTCTTTACTTGTCCTTTTGCCGGATCAAGTCGGTTTGGTCTCCTATCCATCAAATTCGGGCATTATGAGTTTGATAATTTCAGACAGTGGTTAAAAGTTACTTTGATGAATTTGAGCCGTGATGGTCATACAAAGCTCATCAACCAGATCATCATTTTGCTGAACCTCATTTGAAAAACAAGAAATACTCCTCCGGTCCTTAATATAAGACCCATTTAACTAATTTGATTAGATTAAGGAAGTTAGATAAGTTGGTTAATTATAAGAAAAGTGACACATTTTTCTAAAACACCATAATCATCTTTCTTAATACCCCCTCTTCCTCTTCTATTTAATTATAGTTGAGGGAATATCCATAGGGGTAATTTAGAGAAAACTGATAAATATGAGAAATGAGTCTTATATTTAGGACCAAAATCAACTCAACAATTGGGTCCTATATTAAGGACCGGAGGAGTAATATATATCATTCACAATACAAGGAAGATGTCTCAGGTGGCTCTAAAAAATTTAGAAGTGTGGAAAATTTTGCTCTTCCGGCCTTCATCATCAACCCTCCTCATCTGCTATTCCCAATAAGAAAAATGGAGATGTCAATTACTATTTATGGTCATTAATATAAGATTTAGTTTAAAGTAATTTGGTAATTTTTTTTAATTTTCTCAAATTAATCAATTGGGTTTTATAATAAGGATAATACTGATTTAATTTTGGAATCTTAGAGGAAAATAGATGGGCAATCATGCTCAATAAATTCCGAAATAGTAGATGCTTGCTCTGTGAAGCTTGGGTGGGCTACAATGGTCAATTTCTTCAGAAGTTTACTTAGAAAAAGGTATCACCCTGTGCATTGCCCTTCGTGATAACCTGCTTCAGATTGGTCCTTTATTGGATCACAAACTTTGCCTTTTTTCATGAGGATGAGTACAACGTTTTGAAGGTTATATGTATTAAAAAGCAGCTCATTCCTCCCTTGAATGGTTTCTGTAAGGCTTCGAAGCAGATTAATTAATACATTGCTTTACTCCTAAAACAGTTCTCTACCGTTTTAATGGTGGCTGCTTGAAGGATAAATTCTTCCTATCTTGCATCTTCAAATTCTTGTCCTTATTACTACGTTTGGACGACTTAATTCAATACTTGTAACGTTTTCTTTCAATGCATTTTGATCTTTTCATAAAAAAATGTAAAATGGGTTAGTTCAAAAAAAATAAAAAACATAAGGTTCATAGTTATAAATATTTGTTTATTGTGCCACATGGACATTTAGAAAAAGATCGTGAGTATTTTTACACATAACTCGAATTTATAAATACTTGTGAAAACTATATTTTGTGGTTGAATTAAAAGTTTGGGTGGTTTTTTTATTTACGAAAGAATTGTTATGAAATTTTAGTTTATTTTTAGTATCAGCAATCCAGACATTTGTTTAAATTAATTAAGATTTAAAAAACCAGACCAGATATTAAACCAGTTGAAATAGTGGTTCAAGGGCTAATGAGTCAGATCAGATCAATTCAGATCAAACAAGCTACAATTAAAATAATATAATATGATTAAAAATTTACAAAATATGTTTATATTTAATCACAAAAAATAATATTTAAATAAACAATGAATTAATTGAATTGATTTCAAGCAAAAGAATAACCGTTCTATTGAAAACCAATAATTCAAGTAAAATTTCTCAGTACATTAGGCATATCATAGGCCATACATTGATGACCGGGCTTAGTGCGTGCTTGCAGTAGATGCACAGTGGAACTTTTTGACTTTCCATCTCACCATGTGAAGCCTCCGGAACTTGCATTTTTAATTATATCAATTAAAAAAATGGCTTCTTTTTCACTTTTCAAGTTCTCCTTCTGCTAGGCGTTTCTCTTTCTCAGAAGGTAAAAATGTTGTCATTATAGATCTTCTAAAGGTGTTGGCGAGAAGCCGAGAACACAGCTACAACGGAAGAAACAATCATAAGCACGATTAAGGGGGTGTTTGGATAACCTCAAACCATGGTTTGGAGAATAGCTTTTGGAGAATAGATTCTGGAGAGAATAGATTCTGAAGAGAATAGATTCTGAAAGAATAGCTTTTCTGAAAAAGTGATTCTGATAAAATGAGAGTGTTTGGATAATTGTTGTCAGAAGTGTTTTTTTATATGTAAAAATTACTAAAAAAGACATAAGTTTAAATGATAATTACATATAAAATATATTTCATAATATATCAAAGAGTTCACTTTGAACTCCTTCACCAATGCTTCACATTGAAGCTGGACCATAATCTGCAACCCCGTCACATAACGCATCCTTATCTCAGTGTAATAATCGTCAAAACTTAGAACCCTCACGGTATTTGAACCCCCAAAATTGCCTGGAACCGAGAAACCAGCCTCATTAAATTGGAAACCATAATCTGAATCTCTTTCTACCTTAAAACCACCCTCAGAACAATTTCCTTGACATTGAGGAGCTTCGTCTTCCAACCCCAGACTTCATGAACTGAGACTGGGAATCGTAGATGGAATCATACTGAGAAATGGGTTCAACCTTGATCGCATGCAAACGCTGGCGGCGGTGACTGGCTAAGTAGATGCCGCCGCTAGCGTCTCCTCCCTTGTTGACGAAGTCCTCATCGGCCACACCGGTGTCAACTATGTCGTCAGCCTGAGAGCCACATCGAAGGCAGTAGAAGAAGCCATCGGAACCATCAGCTAGACCCACGTTGCCACAGGTATGGTAGGTCCAGGTGTGGCTATTATCCATTCCCGACGATGGACGGCGGAACCGGTGGCGGAGACGTTATCGGCGAACGAAGAGGCGCCAGTACCCTTCAAGCTTTCATATTAGCAAGATACGGACAGAGGAGAAAGACGGCGACGGCGAGGAGATGTAGCCACGAGCATTGCAGAAGAGGCAGCCGCGACTCACGAAACGGCAAAGTGAGAAGAGAGAGTGTGCAGTCGCCAGGGCAGTCTTCGATGAGAAGGCCAAAGAGCTCAGAGTGTTTGCATTCTGAGAAGCTACAATTTTTTGCTTCTCCGGAAACCTTAGTTTTGCTGGCCAAAACCAAGGTTTTGGCAGAAACCTTGGTTTTAAAAAAAAAAGGGGTGTTTGGCAATCAGCTTCTCTAAACCAAGGTTTAGGGCCCAGAAGCACTTTTGCCCCATTTGCCAAACACCCCCTAAGATGATAGATGAGAAGTGAGACGTCCAATTTTTTTTTTTTACTCATTTTTCTCTAATTCTTGATTTTGTTCTTATTTCTTCCTCTTTTCCATCTTTTCTTCACTGAACCTTTCCATTTTTCCCCCTTCTTCCCTTTTCTGGCCCAATATAGTATTGCACCTAAACTCTAGAAAAAGTGGTCGATCTGATTTACCTAGTTTGTGGCTGGTTCATTCTGGTTTAATTCAGTCCAATATAGTTCACTTTTCCACCAGTTTTGTCGCTAAACCAGGTTAGACCTATACTGATTCACTGGTTTTCGGTTTGACATGGCCAGTTCAGTTCGGTCTGGTTTTTTATTCCTTGAAATTAATAACAATGACATTTTTGCATCCTTTTAGGCTTTTATAATTTTCATGGACACTTTTGCACCCAAGTGAGCATTAGTGTCAAGTGCCTATTTTCAGATACTTGGTAACCATATTTGTACAATAACTCTTTAAATACCATGTAATGTATTCCTTCGGTCTTTAATCTAATATTTATTTAACTAATTTGATTAGATTAAAGAAATTAGGTAAGTTGGTTAATTATAAGAAATATAACATGTTTTTCCCAAAACACTATAATTATTTTTCTTAATATTCTCCATTCCTCTCTTACTTGATGGTGGTTGAGGGATTATTAATTGATAAATATAATAAATAGGTCTTACATTTAGAAATAAAATCAACTCAATAATTAGATTATATTTTAAGGGTAGGAGAAATATTATATATTCTACCATCTTGTAACACAAATTACATAAACAATATTCAACTTTCATAATATCCAAGAAATATTATCCACATGTACATTTTATTTGCATTGATAAAGTTAAAGATTAGAATCAAGAATAGTATTTTAATTAATGTGATACCTTTTCTAAATTAAAGAACTAGATTCTTTGGAGTTTAGATTGGAAGTTTTAGGGCATCCATATTTTTTGGGAAAAATAATAATATATTTCTTTTCACACCAATTATAAAAAGAATCAGAATATCAAATCAGTCAGCTTCCTTTAAAATCTTCTAAGAGGGTGTTTGGCTATCTCCCCAAACCATGGTTTGGAAAAAAAAATTGCCAAACACACTATAAAAATCTCAAAACCATGGTTTTGGATAAAGCTACCAGGAGCTGCTTCTGCTTTAAATTATTGAACGTTGGTAGTGGGCCGAGGGAATATTATACAGAGCAGGCGTCAATTATTTGCTTCCTCCTTCACTCTTCACCGAGCTCTTGGTAAGAAATAATCATATTTTTTGTTGGCAAAATAAATTATTTTACAAAAAACGTATTTACTTATTTTATTAATATATATATGTATTAATTTTTTTATTTATATTATTTATGTCTTATTTATTTTGTTGCCAAAATATATATTATTAACAAATTTATTACTTCAAATAAACATATATTATGAAATATATCTTATATGTAATTATCATTTAAACTTATGTTCTTTTTAGTAATTTTTACATATAGAAAAACACTTCTGACAATAACTATCCAAACACTTTCACTTTATCAGAATCACTTTTTCAGAAAATCTATTCTCTCCAATATCTATTCTTCAGAAATTATTCTCCAAACCATAATTTAGCTTCATCCAAACACCCTCTCTAAAGTCCTGTTTCATCTCTTTCCTTCCGGCCGAAGGAACCACATACCAAAACTTAAACAAAGTAAACCCTGTCTGCTCTCACCACCCCCCCCCCCCCCCAAAATAATTTTAATTTTTTAATTTGTCTCCTTCTTCATAATTTGCATTCATTTCGATCATCTGCCCAAATAATCGATTAACCTGAGACTTTCGTCGCCACTGTAAATTATCGTTATTCCGATTAGATGACTCCGATTTTGGCATGTCGCCGGCGTTGGTAGTTCCCGGAGCTCCGGTGCATACCGACAATCCCACTGGTTGGGCCTCTCCTCCTATCTCCTTCGAGCTTTTTCGGTTTTCTCCAATCAGCCAATTCGGACGACATCAAAAGTTTCCGCATCACATGGAACAAACCAATGCCATGGATGGAGCATCTGGGATTTCAAAATCGAAGGTCCAGAATTCGAATTTCACCTTTAGCAGCCCTTCTGCTCCATCTTCGCGCCCGGTTTCGGGTCTGTCTAGGCCGAGATTGATGAAGGTTCGCAAGCAGAATAATGCTCAGAATTTGAGGGCGACGACAGGGATCGAGGAGAATCTGCTTGCTCCTGGTTTCAATCCTTTTGCTTCTGTTGGCGACAACGTGGTGCGACCCGTTTCTGGGTCGGGGATGGCTTCGTCGTCTCTATTCAGTGAAATTGATGCGGGACAGACTGGAAATGAGCCATTTGTCTTTGGAGGCAAGAGGGTTGATCCGGGTTCGAATTTAAACAAGAACCACATGGGTTCTGCGGTGAATTTCGATCAAGGAATTGCTGATCAAATGAGAAATTTGAAAATGGGCAATGTGAATGATGTTTCAAACTTTAAAGATGGGGGTTATAAGAAGGGTGAGTATGCATTTCAGAGTGGTCATAAGAAGAGTTTCAGTCATGATGGAAGCTTGGTCTCAGCGCTTCCAGAAGACATGAGGAAGTTGAATATTGGCGTTGGCGGAGTTGAAGACATTGACAAAACCAAAAGCAGATACTTAAATACATATACGGATGATTTTTCCAAATTCACATTCCAGAGTACATCCAACCCAAGTATTTCTTCCACTGTTGAAATAGAACTCCAAAGAGAGTTGAACAAGAAATTGAGCATTAAAGAAAGCAGTTCTGTTGGTCTACATATTGATAACTCAACAAATGAAGTTCTCAACCAAATGAAGAACTTAAATGTGAAGGATTCTTCGGCTTTTGGTAGTGTTAAGAAGAATGAAGTTGATGTAACAACTGGTAGAAGCACAGAAGCCAGTCTGTTGAGAGAAATGGAGAAGTTAAAGTTATTCAGTGAGAAGGAGGACTTCACTAGACCAAAATTTTGGAATCCTTCCTCTCAGGTACCTGAGGGGGAAATTAACCAAACAGTTGGAAGTGGTGGTCAGGTAGACAAACCCAAGGAAGGCATCAGCATGACACAAAATGCCACGCCTTCATTGTCATTCTTATCTGGAGGCGTAAATTTTCCCATGGTTGGAAATTCTTCTGGAGTCACCAAGAGAGATGAATTTGTCTTTACAGGGAAGAAAGATGGTTCAAACTCATCTTTTGTTGAGTTCAAAACACCAGGATTAAGCAAGGAACAAACTAGCAACCCAAGAGTGAAGAAAAGAAGAGGTAAACTTAAGCTGTCTACCCCTGTCCAGTTGTTTCATGGACAAGATTTTGTTTCAAAGGAAACTGTTACCGAAGGAAACCCAGAGGCTTCTGAGGCTTATTCACCAATGGAAGTCTCTCCATATCGGGAAACATGGGCTGAAACTCGTTGTTCAAGGGAGAATTCTGTGACGTCCAACGAGTCCTTGAGTCTTGATACCAACTCTACTGCTACTGATGTGGTGCAGACTTCTCATGATGCTATAGATGAAGATCTAATTGCAAAAACAGAATGCTTACTTATCGATGAATGTGATGCTGCATGCAAGGAAACAAAGGAGAAAGCTTCAGAGTACCACATTCCTAAAATTATTTTCAGTGAGGATCCACAAGATGGGTCTACATCTGGGGTGGAAACTGAAAGCTTTAAATCTGCAAATGATGAAGTGGAAGCTGCGAGCAGTCCACGCTCAAGTGTTGAAGCCTGTGGTGTTGATAGTATGCCACATCTCAGTCGTACTTCAAGTTCAAATGATATAAGTGGGTTCCCCTTCACATTCGCTGCCTCTCACTCGGCTGAAGCTCAATCATCTAGTCCTAAGCGTCACCTCAAAAAGAAAAATTGGCTAAATTTTGGTTATGATGCCCACAGCTCGACTCCAAGCTTGAAGATTTCTTATTCATCACCATCAATGTCCTTTTCTTCATGCTCAGAGACATCATGTCTTTTCACATCAGGGCAAGCTCAGAAAGACAAAGTATCAACTCCTCAACCTAAGACGAGGGATTCTGAGATTAATAAGGAGCAGGGGATGAAGGAGGAGGCTGCTTCTAAAAATGCTGCAAACATTGCTGCTCAGGAAGCTTGTGAGAAGTGGCGACTCAGGTTATTATGCACTTGGGCAGTATTTTTCTTTTTTAATTTTTACTTTTACACTCGTCTATAATGTGCTTAGTTTCATTATATTCACATCACATCTATACTGAAGTAACTTCTAATCAGGGGAAACCAAGCCTATAAAAACGGGGATTTATCTGTGGCAGAGGATTGTTACACTAAAGGACTTCAATGTGTTTCTAAAGAGGCAACATCCAGGAGCTCCATGAGAGCTTTGATGCTCTGTTATAGCAATCGTGCTGCCACACGCATGTCTCTTGGGAGGATGAGAGATGCACTAAAAGATTGTATACTGGCGGCTGAAATAGATCCAAATTTCCTCAGGGTACAACTTAGAGCTGCAAAGTAAGGTTTCCATTCTGGTTCTGATACATACATTGATTGATTTGTAGGAGTGAACGAATTAAAGGGAGTGAGATCTGGTTCATCCTAATATGCACTCCATTTCCGTTGAACTTTGCTATTCAAGATTTCCATTTTAGAGCTAGAATAAATAGAAGTATTATCAGCGTTCTTGTGCTTTTTCTTATGTGTGATTTTGAGGATCTTCTCATGTGATTGTTTTCTGTTCACGTTTTGCTCAGCAATATTTTCCCCCTCATAGGATGAAGTTATGTTGGATTATTTTACTCTAATTTTATATGAGGGAGTAAGATATAGATAAAAGAAGACTTTGTCTTTGACGATATGATATTCATAAGAAGCAGAAGAACTGGAACAAGTTTAAACACAATGAGTTATAAAATCATAATTTCACCAACTGGTATTCTGTTCTTCCCTCTAATAATGTTCACTATTTCCCCAAACTATTGAAATGGAAGAAAGAACCAGCCTGTTATGTTTTTATCAAAGAGGGTCCATCGACCCCTGATGTTGTTTGTTTTGTTGACGAGTAGTTCATCATTAACCATTTTGTAACAAAATTAATCACGTTTGTGGTTGATTGATCCTTTTTCAGGATGCTCTAGAAATGTATCCACATATATTATCACTTCAAAGTTTGAACCTCGCATGAAATTCAGCGCAGATTTGTTGGAAATTAATGGACAGCTTGGGGGCTATGTTTAATAGAAATAACCAAGTTCACTCAGAATATTCATTAATAATGGTTGCGAAGTAATTGAACTCAACGTTAAACCATTACCGAAAAGGAAAGTGTCGGACTTTTCCTGTAGCTATACTAATGCTGGTATTGTACGCTTGATTGTAGATAGCTTGGCAGCGGTACCAATTTAATAAAAGCAAGAACTGCATATGTCAGAATTGTTGATGATTGATAAACAAGAGTTTCTTGTCTTTTTCTCTTCTCTCTTTATAGTCTTTTCTTGTGCTTAATGACGTATCTAAGTGGGTTGGTTCTCCCATTTCAGCAACTAACTTTTGGGAATAGGTTCCCCATCCTTTTTAGGTACCCATCAGCTTCCTTTATTTTTTGCTCTTGTCGTCCCGTCAATGCCCAATGTTTACTCTCATAAATAGTAAATATTTATTGAAAATATTCATTGGGCCTTGTTAGAGTTATTAATAATATATTTCATGTTAGAGATATTAATAAAATGTTTATTGGGCTTTTTAGGTAGTTTTAGCGTTTTGGGATGAAACGGGGGTTATCCGTTATTAATGGAAAAAAGTTACATCACAACTAAACTTTCTAAAATTAAATAAATGGACAAGAAATAATGCGGGACTTCATCAGCTAGGCAGAATTTAGCTATCCTTGAAAATTCCATGATTATGTTCCCCTGAGGCTATGGAAACTAGATATCCAAAACCTCAATCTATTGTCCACTCTTTTCCTTGTTTTCTGATCATCATTAAATGATCTATGATCTATCTCATCCGTCCTCCTTCTATATTTGTGTATATAGAAATACATATGTGTGGTTTGACGTGCTTTCTTTATAGTTACCAAGGGATAATTATATCTGCTGACTTTTTTTCTTCCTTTTTTTGCTTTTTTAAATTTTCAATGTTGTTAAGTTGTTACCTTGCTTTGGGAGAAGTTGGAGATGCATTGCAATATTTCAAGAGGTGCTTACAAACAGGAGCTGATGTATGTGTAGATCGAAAAATTGCTGTGGAAGCCTCTGACGGCTTACAAAAAGCACAGGTTCGATAACATTTAGTTATTTTGTATGGATAAGTAAATGTATTATTATTAGAGTTAATTCATTGTCTTTTCACAATTTTTTCTGCTTTGTTGGCTATGGGCTGTGCACATAATGCTTTAGTATTTGAAACTTTCTACATCCAACTGCTCTGATATCATATATATATATATATTATGCTGTGAGATGGAAAATCATTTTGAAGAACACTTATGGTTCCAAATTGTATTGTATTCAAATAGGAAGGGAAGAATAAATGGATACGGCAGCCTCAATCAAATGAAGGTGATAGGCTGAGATCCTAGCGATCAGGCCAGAATTCTAGGAAATTCAAAAAGATACTGCATTGAATAATAATAATGATAAAACAGCATAATGCTCCTAGAAACCAGATTGCATCAGAAATTTAAGTTTCAAACTATTGCTAATTAGGATTAGGGCTTTTAGTTCCACGGCCCAATTCTTCTTCAGCAGCCAACACTCCCCCTCAAGCTGGCAAGTAAATATCTAACATGCCCAAAGCTTGGATCTGTCCAAAGGTTTAGTGAGTACATCAGCTATTTGTGGGGAAGTATTTATGCGTGAGAGATGTGGCATGCATACATGAGTCTGCGTGTGAGAGAGTGGGAGAGAATGTTGGATTTTATTATTTTGTACTCTAAGATTCTCCTGTTTGGTATCTTGTCACTGCTCCAAATATGGTGCTGTGTTATCCATCAGTTTCCTTTTCACGTGCTATCCTGTTAACAATCCTTTGCAGAAATTCTGAGTTCATTTGTTAAGCTATTTTGCTGTGTGGAAGCCACCCCATCTGCCCTTTTTGGTTTTTCACTCCCGAGTTCTCCTATGTCATTTTCTGTGTTGTTCAATTTCATTTTGAAGGATTTCAGTAAATGTTCGTACTCGCTAGTATTTATGACTACAATTTGATTTATCAATGCCCTGAAAGAAAGTGTCTGTAATGATCTATGGATTTCTCTTTTGGCACTTTAGCATTTTCTTCCCTCGACGTATTTCTATTTAACTTTGCATTGCAACAGTCGGTGCTTTTTTTTTCCCCCCCATTTTTTTTGCTTTTGTTTTTGATAAGATGCATAGAGAAACTTTCTGTGCTTTCACTGTAAATGATTGAAAAGAAAAAAGCACTACCTAGAACTCTTTTCCGCATTGTGACAATGGGGAGTCCTGTGACCTTCTAGTTTAAAACAGTGCTTACATCCCATGTTTTTCAGAGGTCTCAGATAGTGTTTAGTGAGTTTAATTTGAAGAGGGGTAGTGTTAGGAACAGTCATAGGCTACACAAGGACCAGATTAGAATCATTGTGTCAATAAATGGCCCTTCCACTCATGGAATTTTCCTCCTTCATGGCTCTTTTTGGGAAATTAGGCTGATTCTCAAAAAATGTCGCATTCGTACTAAGGAAATACTTCTGAATTGTAGGAGAACAACACCTGTACCAATTTTTTTAGTTGAGGAGTATGCCAAAAATATACATTTTTCGGCCCAAGGGTTGTATTTTTCTCCATGATCATTATGAAGAAAAACAGTACACCGATATATCTTTTGAGGAATGGCAGATAGGACGGGTACAGAAGGGTGGACTTCAAGAAGTTGTTGAATTGTTGTACTGGCATTCAATGTTTTTGTAGCATCTGGTTCATCAAATTGGCTAAAGTATTGCATCTCCCGAAAGATGGTGTGGAGCATTGTTGGTGAGTATAAGGGGCCTAGCAATCTTAAAAAGATATATATTTTTCCTTTAAGCAAACCCATTTTGTTGTGGGTTATTAACACATTATATTTTGTGAATAATCCCATGATTGGATAAATGCTGATCAAAAGCTTGGTTGAGGTTTTCCTTGGGATTATCATTTCTCAAAATCTGGATTTTGGCCTGACATTGAGTTTGTATGTGAGAGTGAAAAGGTTTTGAAAATTTGAAATACCTCATATTTTTCTCTCATAAGTTAAATCCATGTGATCTATTTGTGTTCATCTATAAAAATAACAAACCACCAAGCATTTTTCTGGGTTTCTATCTTTGATGGACCCCATCTTTTGCTATGAACTATATAGCAAAAGGCTTAATGGGTTCATATGGCTGTGGGAATAGGAAGTTTTTGTGTGTTCGGAGAACTAACAAAATTCATATTGAAGGGAAGTATAATCTTTACTGGTAAGAGTTGGATACAGCTGCTTCATATAAGATAAACTAGGGTGACACAGCCTACAATACCACAACATTATCACTGTTTTAGAGGAGCAAGTGACACTTGCTGTCTTTATGTCAGCTTCTGTTAGGTAATAGAATCCACCAATTTTCCTAGCACTGCCGATCTTCTTTCCTAGCTCAAAATCCTGAAAAAATACAGACATTAGGATGATAATTATCCATACAAATGTTCTCTATCAGAACTTATTCACTGATAACAGATTGCAATCTAAATCAGGCACAAACAGGGCATCTTTTAGGATCAAATCCTTGTTTATGTCCACTGAACTGACCCAAAGATCTTAGCATATTCACCATTGGGCACTTCCACATTTATACTTTCTGAACAGGGCTCAAAGTCAACTATTGAGTTGGCATTACTAGTCATGTGGCCTATGACATTGGAATCCACAACCCAAGAGCTGTTGTGAAGATTTTTTGTATTTGTTGGTGCTAGATTGCATGCATTTCCACAGTTCTCTTGTTTTGATTCATGTTTACTCAATATATTCGTCAAGAGATCCATCTCTTCCTTGCTGAATTGGTAGCTGCTATTCTCAGGCGTCTCCCTATCAGTAACAATAAATCCTTTTTCCTAGGTTTTGGACTTCCCTTTGAAATTTGCAAACTTCGCATGGGTCTTCCAGAGTTTCCCTTTCTTCTACAATTCTTGCCCACCATTTCCTCTGTTTACCAAGATCAAGGCATCTGGAACACTTAGGCTGAAAAGACTGGTCGCTTCTTGCTTTCTCCCATGATAGACAAAATAGGATGAGCTGCCTTGATTCTGGCACATACCTCATACGGGACTGCAGATTCAGATTCAGCGAATGGAGATTCGCATTCTCTAGTTGAAGTTGCTCATGCAGACTCCTCTCCTCGAGGGATTTAGATGGGGATCAGATAACGATTTAGACTCAATGGAGGCTGAGGTTGAAGCATCTCATTCATGTCTTGCAAAAGTGAAAAAAATATCCTCCTCCTTTCTTTCAATCTTACTATCAATCATTGACCATTAGGCATATCCAAGAAAGACAGAAGGGGTTGCTTTACTCTAACAAGTAAGCAAGCAAACTACCTGGGGGAAATTTTTTTTTCCTAACTGTGCAAGCAAGACACTGGACCTTATACAGCAACTTCTCCCTCACCTTGTCCAAGCTTGACCATCGACCTTAAATCGAAGAGAGAGTAAGAGGGACGCTTTGCGAGCCAAGTAACTCAAGATGAGGACTTTTTATGAAGAAACAAACAAATACAAGTGACGAAGCCTAACCAAAACTACTTGACTTTCACCACTCGACTTTACTAGCTCCTGAAACAAGACTTATGACCAATGTGAGGATCAGATATAGATTAAAAGGAGGAAAAGTTAAGCTTGCTAACAAAGGGGCTGGGATTTACCTTGCCCTAGTACACCAACCAGGAAGAAAGATTTTGTGCTTTTTCACCTTTTTGCCAAACCAGAACAGAGCCAGTCGGGTCAATCAGAATGTCTTTCTTTCACAGTGCTATGACATTCTCAAGTATTCTTCTAGTTTGACTTTCTCTATTCTAAGTAGCACCCAATAAAGCGCATGCTAAGCAGATCTTTACCAAAGCCATATCTTCATAAGCATCCAAAGCTGCCTACTCATTGGTAGTGAAAAATGCAACAACATAGATATGTTTACTAAGCCAGGAGCTGCTCCCCACTAGAAACACTGAATTGAGCCTAAGATGAAACTTATAGACACTCACAAAGAAGGCCCTTGATCTGGAACAAAGAAACAGCATTTTCCATGGTTGAGTATGTTTGTTTGACACTCTCCTGCGTGTTGAACTGTCTTAGCAAGAACGTAACCCTCATTAATTTCCAGACTCAATGATTGACACAACCAGGTCATAACCTGATTATTTTCAGTCTTCCAACTCTCATACTCTGGATCTGTGGCAACTGGTTCAGCTATTTCTCTAGTTAGATGCTTCTCCTTTCCTCCTCCTCTTGTATACATCAGAATAATTTGATACCACTGCAAATAGATATTTCCTTTCAGATTGTGGCCCGTATCAGGATTCTAATGGACTAAAAGCCCAAAAAAATAAAAGGGAAAGTAAGATATTCTGTAATCAATGACAGATTGAAGCTAATATCATGCCAACAGTTAATGAGAACATCACTGTTTATGATGAATCTAACTTCTAGCAACTGCTTATTTTTTAAAACGAAAGTGCTAAACTCTCAATTTCTTTGGTAATTTTTGATGAAATGTGAAGATTTGTTTTGTTGTATTTTCTCATAACATTTTAACTTGGGTGTGAATAGGAACTATTCCTGAGCTGATCAGTTCTCTTTATGGATGACAGAAAGTATCAGAATTCACCAATCATTCTGCTGAACTTCTGCAAAGTAGGACAATCTCTGACACAGATAGGGCATTGGAACAAATTAATGAGGCGCTGATGATAAGTTCATACTCTGAAAAATTACTTGAACTGAAAGCAGAAGCTCTTCTCATGGTCTGTGCCACCTTGTTATTTGCCGGCATTTTGTTATGAAAATGTCTTGAGACAGTTAGTTGTAGGCTGTTTGTGCAAGAATTTACCATAACACCAATGAAGTCTCTTTAAATGGCAGTTGTGTAAATTTGAGGAGGTGATTCAGCTGTGTGATGAGACACTTGGTTCTGCTGAGAAGAATTTTTGTTCATTGGATGCTGAGGGAGAAGTTATAAATTCGGATATCTCACAACTCCAAAAATGCTTCTACTTCAGGCTATGGCGATGCTCAAGGAAACTTAAATCCTACTTTCACCTTGGAAAGCTTGAAGAAGGTCTTTCTTCACTGGAGGAACAAGAAAAAATGATGTCTTCCATGAACAAGTAAGGATTACTAATCTTTGAGCCTATACACCCTTTCTCTCTCTTCCCCTCAGGGGATGGGATGAAATACGATAAGGCAAAATGGATATATTTGATGGAGATGAGCTTGGATGATGACCCTGCAGGAGTGGAAGCAATGTTTTCAACTCACTGATTCCCCTGGCTCCCATTGTACGTGAACTCTTACATCACAAGGTTTGTTTATACCATTTTGTAACCCTTAAATTCTTCTGTCAGATCTAATGCATCATTACGTAGTTTGGTTGTCTCTTAAAATGTGTCTATGGATGCTGTTTGGCATCCAAATTAGAAGTTGTGCCTGTTTCTGTTCCATTGATGGGTTTATTTAGCAAATTCAGCTTTCTGTGTTCTGATAAGTGTCCAGTTATCAATGATTAGGGAACTTTGATTGTTTCAAACATGAATACTTTAAGATCTGTTCAATTATTCGTTAGAACTGCAAGATGGTGTCAAGTAAAGAGATGATTTTGTAACTTTTAGAACTTCTTCAATCATAGCCAAAGCATTTCTATCCCATGCTGACCTATTTTTGTGATGTGAATTTTGCTATTGCATAAAAATTGCTTGTGTGAGGCTTGATTCAAATGTGTTCAATTCCAGACTGTGGGGAATGAAGCATTTCTGGCAGGAAGGCATGCAGAAGCTGTTGAGCATTATACTGCAGCTTTGTCATGTAATGTGGAATCTCGCCCATTTGCAGCTGTCTGCTTTTGTAATCGTGCTGCTGCTTATACAGCATTAGGTCAAATCACTGATGCTATTGCAGATTGCTGTCTAGCTATAGCTCTGGATGGAAATTATTTGAAGGTTTTCCTCTTCAACTGAAAGTACTATTTGAGTTGTTAGAAAAACCTGTTCGATTCTTAAGAAGACATGAGAATTAAAATGTTGCATGAGATTTCAGGATCCTTCGTAGTCCCTAAAGGCGTTTCTTTTGAATGTCTATATGGGAAGACCAGCTTCGAGAATTGATAAGCATCATGGGGTACATTTATTAAAGCTTCAACTACTGCAATTGAATCCCCCCCCCCCCCCCCCCAAAAAAAAAACCCCCACACTGCTGGCCTTTTTTAACTGGATGCTCGTTTGGCAACTACTAAAGAACTAAATGGACGTGAGAGATTTAATAACTTGATTGTTAATAATTACTTTGACCAATCACTTGTCAACAACCATTTTGTCTTTTTACCCCCTTGGTATAGGGACATGCATATGGGCTATAGGATGTTTCATAGATGGTGTTTTTGGTATTTTAAATGTTAGAAATTCTTCAAGCTTTGCCGTTCTGTTATGTATGATGATCATTTCTGGCATTTTCCAACTATGTTTATATTGCATGCTGGTCTGATTAAAAATTTCTAGTTCATGTTTAATAGAGGTGGCATTTTTTGCTGACGGTTTTCGTACCCTTGCAGGCACTTTCTAGGCGTGCAACTCTGTATGAGATGATCAGAGATTATGCCCAAGCAGCTAGTGATCTTCAGCGACTTGTCTCTATTCTCAATAAGCGGGTGGATGATAAGGCCAGTCAGCAGGGAATATCCGATAGATCTTATAATTTTACTAATGATTTGAAACAAAATTCTATTAGGCTTTCTGAAATGGAGGAAGAAGCCAGAAAGGAGATCCCTCTTGATATGTACCTCATATTGTAAGCTATTTCACTACTTTTTCTTCATTATAAACTAATAATTTAAAGCAGATAACCACATATTTGAGTAGTCAGTCGATTTTCCTAAAGGAAGCATAGCTTATAGTTTTCTCAATATCCCTTGTTTCAAATACTCAAACCAACAAGATTACTGGTCCATTTATGAGAATGAAGTGGTGAATTCGGGGTCATGTTGGAAGTTATTACTATATGAAGAAGGATTGCAAACTGCATAGGTTGAATATGTGATCAATAGTCTTGCATATTACAGTACATTTGCGGTTTATTCAAAGCTTGCATTTATCTGAAATTCCTTGAAAAACGTGTACAAAATTCAATAAAATACCAGTATTCATTGAATGGGATTTGTGAAATTTGATGTGCATGTGCTATTTGTGAGCTTTTCCGAAAATGACAAAAGCCTGATCTGAAGGGCAAAATGACCGTGCAAATAGAGAATGGCATGAAACCACTAGGACTAGATCCCTTGACCCCACAGCCAATCATAATATATGGACCCCAAGAAAGCTAAATAAAGGTTTCTTGATCTACTTGAACCCTGGAACACGAACAATGTGGACTTGAAGTGCTAAAAGATGTCATGAGATTGATCAAACCTTGATAAGTGAGTCTTGGAGAGAATCCACTACGTGTGAAATCCCAAAAATAATTCAATATTCATCAAATCTGACTAGAAATGGAGGCAGAATACATTTGTATATTTTGTAAGCCAAATCCGTCTTTAATTAGCCTAGGAAAGGAAAATTAGGGAAAATCAAAGTATAAACCTTACTTAATATCCTAAGAATCAGCATGTACATCCCAAAATGGTATTATTAGGCCCAAATGAGTGATTCCGTGTATGATCCTTGGTCCAAGCTCTTTCACTTGAATTCTAGCCCACAATACTTTCTACAGCTCCATTTTTGGCCCAAATAATATTAATAACGTCCTAATCTTTATTGCCTAGTTTTGTTGCACAATTGCAACTTGTTTTGCTCAAGTTTCTTGAATGAGTCAGCTCAATGCTTCTTTAAGTCTTTTAGCTTTTGCTTTTGTGATTGGTTTACTAGGAAGGTGTAAGGGATCACTTGAAGTATCTGACTCAACATGCTTCCTATGTTGTATTGCATCAGAGATAATCCTTGTTTCATTGTTTGAACTTGCAACTGGATCATGCAATGCTATGCTTTTTTCTTTTCTTGTCTTTTGTTGTTTGACAAAATTCTAGTTACTAGAATGTTATGCTAAGTGGAATACTGTCACTTATGTGGCTACGAAGGAATGACCTAGACCTGTGAGAATCAAATCCCTGAGGCCTTGTGGGGTATTGTCAAAGGTTCATGAGCCGTTGTAGACAAGTGAGTAAATCACTTATGGATTTATTAAGGAACAGGTTTTCCAATAGAATAAGGAGGCAACCAATGCCTTTCAGCTATTGAAGACAGCTATGAGTAACACTCTGGCCCAAGAATTTCCAAATTATTGGGCTCAGTTTTAGTTGAAATTGGTGCTTCTAAATTGGGCGTGGGAGTTGTTCTACCCAGCAGGGACACCCGAATTTCTTATTAAAATTCTTGGGTATTCAGCTCATCTTCCGGAGTCTGATAATATATTATAGCATTTGCATGCTCTGATGCATGTGGAAATGTCAAACAGCATTGACCGCTTATTATGCTGTTTTGTGTTTGTCAACAGTAGTGTCTGTAGCTGTGTTACAGAAGCTTCTTTTTATTAGTATTGCTTAGAACGTTCAGTAATAATATCAATAATTCAAAGCCATTTGCTGATTCAGATTATGATGACAGGGGAGTTGAACCGTCTGTTTCTATATCTGAAATCAAGAAAGCCTATCGGAAGGCTGCGCTTAGACATCATCCTGACAAGGTTGTTTACTTAACATTTGCTTGGATGTTCTTACTTTAGTTATCATATATTAACAGAATTTTTAATATCATAGGCTGGCCAATCTTTGGCACGAAATGACAATGGTGATGATCAGATGTGGAAGGATATTGCTAATGAAGTACGGCGAGATGCTGATAGGCTTTTCAAAATAATTGGAGAGGCCTATGCAGTATTGTCAGACCCTGCTAAGGTATTTTTCTTCTGTGTTTAGATAACTAATTTTGTTGATAAAAAAGAAAGAGAAGAGTTGAACTTAGGGAATGTGCTCCAGTCATATTACTACGTGCTTGTAGTGGATAAGAGTAGAAAACTCTACGAGTAACCTTATGGAGGTTCTAGAATTGAACCTATAGACATGATGTCATCATTATAGATCCACTTGATTGCCTGTAAGATATTGATGATGACGGTAGCATCATAGATTTTGAAGTGTGCTTAGGTCTCAATTTAGATATCAAAGTTCATAATGGTACTGTTCCATGCACTAGTATGAAGTTTTGGGCAAAAAATGCACTAGTTTGAAGTTAAATCTTCAGATGTTGCATTAAGATTTAGCCAAATCAACTGCTTGGCTCAATTGATTTTGTTATTCCACGTGTGTTGGGAGTATCTAAGACTATCTTGGCTACCAAATTTTATTATTCCAAGCCAATGGTTCAACGTTGATTTTTCTTTTACTTCATTTCAAAACTCAAGGTTGAGTTTTCCCCAACTAAGGGAGAATGCAGACCTCAAGTTACAATAAATGTACACGCATCATTTACATCATTACATGATCATTCATGGCATGAAAGCTCTTCCTTTTCATTCTCTCTAAGTGAACTAGAGAAGGAATTAAGTTTCAAGATCACAAATTTTCATGGGATGAATCATATCTTGCTTGAAAGCTCTTCGCCTCTTCCAATGAGCACTGCTTTGTACCCATGGAATCTCGAAATGGAGCTATTTGAGTTGAGATATCAGCCCCAAAACTCAACCTTTCAAGATGGTTTTTGTGTCGAGAAAGCCCTTGAGGAGAGGATTGTTGTTGAGTTATTTCATATTACCACATGCGAGAGTGGTGCCTGAATCTTGTTTCATTTCCTCTCTCCCCCCTTCCACGCAAAAGATGGTGCTTATAGCTGCTGATAGATCGAAAATGCAAATGTGAAATTATATAATCATATACTTTTGACAATTTTAATATTTCATTTATATTCCTTGTATTTTTGTTCTATTTGAGCTCTTTTTTCAGTCTTTTCTAAATCTAATTGCTCCATATAAAATTTGAAATCCTCTTTTTTCCCCCCCATAAAATACATAAATCGTAGGATTACAGTGGCTTAAAACAATGTGGAACAGCTCAAACTGACTTTTTTCACTGATTGCCTCTTTCACATTTTACCAAGATTTTAACTATTGTAAGTGCTTCTGGTTAATTCACTTAATATATTCCTCTGTTATCCTGTGATGAACGTTTACATTATCTCTATTTTTTCACTTTATTTATATCTCTGATTTTCCCCTCGTTTGGCGCTGCTGGGTATTTTTTGTTGTTTAGTCATTTTAAGTCGCACTAGTCCACTTCCTTAATTGTTTTTTTTTTTTTGGCTCTTCCTCACCTATATTCATCCTCGTCCTTACCTTATAATATTTGGTTGAGCTTGGGAAATGCTGGTTATGACAATAAAGGATGGAAAAAGATTAAGAAAGACAACATTCATCATTTCTAAATCAGGAATTAGGATTCATAGATAAATGTAGGAAATAAGATTCTGAGTAAGATTCAAAGTATTTCAAATTAAGAAAAAATATATTATTTTAATATATTTTATCTTATTTAGGTTGTGTATTTCATTTTTTTGGGGAATTTATTTGACTAATTACTTCTGTTATTTTAGCAAATCATTTGTCATTTTAATGCATTATCCGTGGTGCTCTATATAAAGCCCTCCTCAATTGGGTCACGGTAGAGCTTTTCCCCCTTTTATTGGTTATTTATAAAATTCTCCTGGCTTGTTAGCTGTCTTTCACCCATCAATGACATATCAAAACATTTAGTTAATGATAGTTCACCTAAAGTGTAAGAGTGTCTGTATACTATTTTGGTAAAAATGTAGTTTGAGGGATTAGTATTACACATAAAGCAAAGTCTTTTAATGATATGACTGTCTCTTTTCTCTCCTATACCAATTTCCTCAGTATACTAAACTAGATACAATTTTCAGTGACACCTTGTCATGGGTTTAGACTACTTGCCCACAGTATATTCTGGGCAATTAATAGAGAGGAAGTAGAAAATTTTCTCTGGTGTTTTCAAAATTAATTATCTACAGTTTTTTTTTTTTGGTTATTATTTTCTTTTTCAGTTATGACCAACATGCTTACCATAACACAATCTTGGGCAAAGAGCCTCAAGTGCCCCACTCTCTAATGCCCCAACTACCAAATGTCTCTCTGTTTTTCCCCCCTCTATTCATCATTAGATTTTATATATAATGAGTGGCATTTTAATCTCTTATGGGCAGCAAATGGTGCATGTTTGATTTTTTTATGATTTTCAAAAAAAAAAAAAAAAAAAAAATCAAAACTGCTCAATTTTAGGGTATTTTTCTTTGAAAAATCGTAAAAAATTCAAAACTACGCTGCTTCATGCTTGTAAGATATCAAAGTGTGACTTTTTTTATGCAGAATCTAATGATCAATTTGAAAAAAGAGAAAAACATCTGGGAGGTTGGGTTATTACAAGAGGCATTAAAGAGGGGGCATTAGAGGCCCCTCACGCCACAAGCTTTGATATTATGTGTGTTTGTGTACCTATATAATGACTTTCCTTTAACGTCTGGGAAGTGTGAAATTGATAAATTGGAAACTCATTTGTTGGTATAGACAAAAGATGGGAAAATTAGTTGGCAATTCTCAATGGATATTGTTGGGTATAAGGATAATATTGAGATATGGGGTGTGAACCATGTGAGTGTGGGTATTTGTGGAATTTGCCACTTGACAGTTAGTGAGAAAGAGGGGCTATATGATAGGGACCTGGTTATTGGGATGGGGGGAGGAAATTGTGAGGAGAGTTTCTGTGCCTCTCGAATGCACAGTTGAGTTGTTTCCTTTTGTTTAGGCGTGCTCCATAAGGCTTACACTTTGTGGAGCTATATTTTTCTATTGATTAATACATATTTCAGAGCTGTGATTCCATCAGATACCTGCACTGGGTTATTTATGCAAGAAAAAGATCAGTATGCGAAGATATGCATTCCAGCCCTCTTTTTATGCTGAGCTCGAGAGAAAAAGAAGGCAGTAGTGGGGCTTAATTATCAGAGATTTGGATCTGTTCTGCATGCCTTTCATGCTCTAAATTCTGTTTTCCGTTTGTTCATTACTCCTGTTTTGCAGCGTGCACGATACGATGCTGAAGAAGAAATGAGAAACGCTCAAAAGAAGCGCCATGAAGGGAGCATGGCTAGAACTAATGTCGATACCCAATCTTACCCATTTGAACAAAGCAACATAAGGAGACGTTGGAGAGATTTACGTAGATCATATGGTAACTCATCTTCTAGAGGCTTTGAAACCGGCCAGTCAGGGAGATCGTATGGTAACTCATGTTCTAGAGGCTTTGAAACGGGCCAGTCAGGCAGGTACTAAGAACAAGTTGGAAACATCAATCATTGGTAAGAATCCGGATCAGCTCTTAGAATTCAACATATTTATATGATTCACCAGCTGCTGTTCACCTGCCAAACATGAGGATCTATTTACACTGAGCAAGAGTCATGCACTTTCGCAAACAGATTTGAGATCACTGGCATAACCATTGAGAATCTTGCTTGGTGGATGACTCTCATTGCCTGGGAGGCAATGGTCTTTTCTTATTCCATTGACAAGAGAAAGAAAACTTGCTTGCGTTTAGTGATCGTTGCGTTCATTTTATGGCTTGCCTTCAACAGGAGGAAGGGTTTGGTGATTGAAAGTTGTGAGCTTGGTTTTATTTTTTATTTTCCTAAAAAATTTTTAAAAGCAAAATGAGCTTGATTTTTATTGAAAGCTTGAAATTTTGCAATGAGACTGAGGTCTCTTTTTTTGAGAGATGTAAATGTTCCATAGTCACTCGTCAGGGAGTTGATATTTTAAGATGTAGCCAGTTTTGCCTGTAACGTTAGTGTGTATGCAAAAGGGGAAGGATTACGATCTCTCCCGGGTTTACTTAATGAAGCTTGCAATATACTACCTCCAGTTTTAATTATATGAGTTAGTTGACTAATTTGAGGAGATTAAAGAAAAAAACCAAGTTAGTTATTTGTAATAAGGGAAAATTACACAGTCCTATATAAGACAATTAATTTATAAAAAGTCTCTAAAAATTCCAAAATAATTCCTAACTCCCAAGGAACTTGAGTGTAATAAATTGAAATTATGAATTATCTATTTACCCCCATTAATTTTATTGTAGTAATTTATTTATAATCTCAACAGTAGCTATTAACAACCTAAGGAGAAGTAGTTAACAACCTTGGTAGTGTTCCTGACAACTCACTCTGTGGGATACTAGAAGTACTGTCGAGGTTATTAACCACTTCTCTTCTAGTTGTCAACAGCTACTGTTGAGGTTGTAAATGAATGAGGGTAAATAGGTAATTTCACAATTATAATTTATTATACACAGGTACCTGGGGATTTGTGAGTTATTTTGGGATTTCGAGGGACTTTTTGTGAATTAATTGTCTTGTATGAGACCTGAGTGTAATTTTCTCTTGTAAGAAATATGTATTGTCTTTCCTAAAATATCTTTACTAATTAAATGTATTGTCTATAACTACCATTATTAGGAGGACTATCTTGGAAAAAAATATATAAATATGAGGGGCAAAGTAGAGTAGGGTCTTATATTTAAGATCAAAATAAAAGTCAAACAAGGTCTTATATTAAGGACTGGAGGTAGTAATATATAGTAATTTATTTCTCTTTATTAAAGATGTATAGAACCTATATAAGCTTATCATCATTATTATTATTATTTTTTTTACATAGTGGAGTCGCTGAGGATAGTAATTAATCATCATGTAATATGAAATATACATATTAAAGGAAAGCAATTCATAATACTACGACTCATTCTTCATATTTGATATAATGTGTAGTTTAGCTTGTATTGAGGTTAATACTACTGGAAATTATTTGATTACAACATCTCATTTATCACATGTATGGACCTTGACTAATAAATCCAAACATATCTATTATCTACATTTCATTTTTTAATTCCTTCAAATCATCTAAAAATCAATTATATTTAATTTGAGCAGAGGAAAAAAGATTAGGGTATAAATTTGTTTTAAAAGTTTTTATTAATAAATGCTATATATTTATGAGTTTTTGTGAGTTCAGGATTGTTCAGAAAGTTTCCAAATTGCAACAATTTCGTGTCGACTATTATTCAGATTAAGTATGACTGTTACTTGACCAAATATGCTAAGCTGAGAAATTAATGTGCCATCCATTTCATTTTTGTTTTGGATAAAAATGCAAATTTGCCTCGGAGGTTTTTACTTAAGAACATTGGGTATATGAAGCTTCTTTAAGGTTCAATATCACCATGGAACTGGAAGTTTCAAAATCATAAAAATTTCGCCTTAATTGTTATTTAGGTTAAGTTTAAAGATTAGTTGACCAAATATGCTGATAGGGCAAATCCGCGTATCATCCACCTCATGTTTTCCTCATGTCAAATTTATAAATAAGGAAAAAAAAATTCATCTAGCTTGAAGGAATGGAGAAAATTAAAGAGGTGATATGTGGTTCTCTGTTGCGTGAATGCCTTGCGCTGTCAACAAAGTGGTTTCAATGACCAAGCTTTGTGTTTATATTCTGGGGCAAGTTCATGGTTCACTTCTCTATTCTTTGCCGTTTTCTTCTTCGATCATCTTTGTGCTCTGTTATCTTTGTGTTGTATGTTTATAGAGTATTAATGAATTTCATAATACGATGATTTATTCCCGTGTGGTTTGTACAGTGTATCACCGGGGATTACAAAGTGGTTTGGAGGATTACATGAAGAGATATCTTAGGGATAGGGAGAGATATTAGGAATAGTTTAAATCTAATCTAATCCCCTGAAACCTACCTAATAAATATAATTAATTAACTATATTAACCACACTCCTCCTCAAGTTGGATCATAGATGCCTATAATGTCTAACTTGTTTATAAAAGTCCTAAATGGATCTTCAGGTAACTCTTTGGTAAGAATGTCAGTAAGCTGCTGCTTTGAGGTCGCATAGGACAAGTATATTATTCCATCCTCCACCTTTTCACAAATTACATCAACATGCTTGGTTTTGCTATGTTGTACTAGATTTAGGGCCATGTTTAGAGCAGTTTTATTATCACAAAATAATTTCATTGGACCACTAATTTGGATTTGAGCTTCTTCTACCCTCTTTCCAGCTAAAGACCCTACATGGTACTTTGTGTTAAGGCTATTAGTTCTGATTCTGCACTTCTTTTAGCTGCATCTTTTTGTTTTTTTACTCTGCCATATTACTTGGTTGCCCTTTGCGATGTACAATAGCCAAATGTCCATCCACTATCTTCTCAGGCTCTTGCCCAATTTGCAGATTTTTAGACAAAGAGGACATTTTAGGAATATAAAAATGAGGAGAATAAATTATAGATCTGACAGAAAATAATTACAGAAGCCAGAGTACTATCATTATAGAAAGGAATTTAAACCCGGAGTAAAAGTGCACCAATAAAGTGAAAACTAGAGTCTTGCACTTTAAATGGCCTACATTTTGCCATGTGTCAAGCCCCTAATGGTGAGTATTTGCATTTGCCAAGTGTCACACCTCAAGTGGAGAGGATTTTGACTTTTGGTAATTAATTTTATTTGGATGTAGTTAATTAAGAAAGAGAATGCAAGAATAAAGAGGGAATTGACACTTGGATGTTCATTTAATGTGGTGGTTGGCATATTTTGAGCATTAAAGAGAGCTCTTCCTCCCCCTATTTTCTTATTTCAATTCAGCCAAAGAGGGAAGAGAGTGAAAAAGAGAGAGCTTGAAGTGGAAACAAAGAGAAAGCAACCATATTGGATCAAGTAAACTTGGAGTTAAAGTTAATAGTTGATTTTATGTTGTTCCTTGCTTGATTTCCTTAAGTTGTATAGTTGAAATTTCTGATTTTATTCCTTGTTGGATGTTGGACAAATTGATCATTGAGTAAGGGAGGAAGTTTTGTTGTTAAATATAGTCAGAACACTATGATTTAAGATGGTTACAAGTGGTTTGGTGTTGTTTTGGAAAGATTTCTTTGTTGAAACTCAAGAGGTGCGGTTCGGTCACTTTGAATCTGGAAAAAGGAGATGTCTTTTCTTAAATCCAAGTATACATTTGGAATCTACATGAAAAACCACGTAGGAATGAACCAAGGGAGAATTTTTAGGGCTAAGGAAACAAGCTCTAAAAATTTAAGAACAAAGATAGAAGCTTTCAGGAGTTTAAAGAGTTACTTGAGTTGTGTTGTGATTTTTATATGGTATGGTTGGTAATCTTGCTGCCTTTTTGTGGTTTATCATGTTAGGATTTATTAATTGTGGAGGAGAGGAAGAAGATCAAAGAATCATGGAAGCTTTTGGATCAAGGTAGTGGGATTTAATTAGCTATTAATGTTAACTTTGCACTGTTATTTATGGCATGAATGCTTGCTATTATATGGTTGAACTATGATGTTTGTGATATGGTTGCTCCTTGCATTTTGTTGCCTTGGCTATTGCATGTTGAGGTTGCCTGTTATAAAAAGATTAGTTCTCCTATTATAGCTAATGTTAAAGTGCTTTATAATAATGCATGTTGATGTTTTGGTTGATTAATCTTGCTACTGGGATTTCATTGAAATCTCATCCCCTATATGTGACCTAACATTTTAGGGGCTAAATCATCAAAAGGGAAGCTGCCAATTCAAGGGTAATTGTGGTGGTGAACCATGAGGAAACAATTATATTTCGGTTATATATAAGTATGTATATTTGGTGTTGTAACTCTAAGCAGGATGCTAACTTGGAGCTATGTTTTTATTAAGTTCCTGAATGAATTTCTTCACAAAATTTGGTATGATTAAAGTTCACATCATGAACTTCAGACCAATAGATAGCACGTTAAAAATAGCCAACTATACAATTTTTGGTGATTTTTCAAATTTAAGGTTCAAAATCTGGAAAAAGGATTTTTACCAAAAGGATAGAGGTGACTGTCACAAAAATCTGGGACTTTCTCACAAGGAATTAATTTCCAAGATTATTTTTTTTTGAAAGAGAATTCAAAGAACTTTTCACAGAATTTTGAACCACTCTATTTTGATTTTTCTAGATTAAGTTATGATTTTTTGAATTTAGACCAAAACTAGATTTTTACTAAATGAACAGTAAATCTGAAAATCAGTGTTTTTTTTTTTAAATTAAGCCCAAGACCATCCAATATAATCTAAAATGGCTCTAATTGAACTCTAAGTCATTCTAGAAGTAAGATATAATGCCAACTGCTTCTCTAGAGATTAGTGGGCACTCTACCATGAAATATTCTCCAAATAAACACCCAAATCCTTTTAGCGCCTTTCCATCTCCAAATTAGTTTATAAATCGAACTACAAAGAAAAGCAGGATTTTCCTCAATAAGGTAATAAGCACTTTTAATGCTGAATAACCCTGTACTTGAGGTTTTCTATATTAAAACATCTTCTCCAGTAGAATCAAAAGGAGGAATCACACTAGCAAGTCTTGCAAAAACGTCAACCGAAACCAGATTATGCAATTTAGACTAGTTCCATGAATCATATGTCATCCAATTAGCCACCACCCTATTTTGCTCTTCATCAAATAGGTCCCTTACACAAAGGTATTTAATTTTCCTATTCGGGAATAGCCAAAAGTCAGTAAAGAACCGAATTGATTTCCCCTTCCTGAGTTGCCACATTGATCCTTTATCCACCACTTCTTTTTGTTTGCTAATAAACTTCCACAATTTAGAATCTCCAGGTAAAGCCGTAAAAAGATCTTGTTCATTGTGCAGCATGTACTTCTGACTCAAGACCTTAGACCACAGCCCTTTTTCTCCTGTCAATAATCTCCAAGCTAACTTTGCCAGAAAAGTTCAATGAAGATTATTTTTTTTAAACCAAGCCCTCCATAAGTTTTTGGTAAAGTAACAGATTGCCATCCTGTAGGGTGATAACCATTTTTATCTTGGTTAT